TCACAATAAACTGTACTATTACTATAACTGCAACTACAGACGAAGGTGCGCTGGTGGGGGGTTGCTCTGAATGGGAAAGGCGCCCATCATATCAGGCACTTACCTGCCTGTGAGCTTACTCTGGCAAGGACAGGGACAAGAACTCCGAACCAAGGACAACCCACCAGAAGCATGAAAAGTTGAATCACCCTAAACCCTAAAGCCCTAAAACCCTAAACCGATTCAGGGTCTCGGACTTCACTTTCCTGTCCTCCCTGCACCCAGCGCTTTACAGGATGGTCTGAGTAACGTGAGGGTCTTAGAAGTGAGGATGGTATTTGAAGTGCGTCATGGCGCTTTATGGGTCTTGAAGAGCTCTGATGTTGGGGCTTGATATACACCATAGGGTTTCGGAGTGCGTATATATGTATATATATATATATATATATATATACATATACAGACTTTGTCTATGTGTGACGACTATAATGATAGAGAAACCAGAAGAATACTGTCACTAAGTGTTCAGGCCCATTTATTACCCCATCGATCATGGCCAAAGGCCCTTGTCCACTGCTGGCTGACACAGACACTGTTGCGCGTGAGAGGTGCATACGGTCTTGAGGCTGCGCGATGTGACTCCCATGAAGTAACTATGGCCCGTGCTGCTTCTGATGGCTGGTCAATGCGCTAGCACGTCAATATGAAGGTGGTTCAGGATGGTTTCAAATCCGTGCTGCCACGATTTTTGCCGACCTGCCCACATCATAAATCAGGGTACCGGTACAAATCTCTCAGCAACGCATGGTGCAAAATCCCGCAATTGCGCACCCCGTAGCCCGCAACCGCCTGTACTGATAGCCCAAAACCCGCACTGGAACATGTAACCCTGACAGCCGTCTTCGGCAATCATATGCCACAGCAGACTATAGTCACATTGTAGTCTGTAATAATAAACTAACATACACTAAACTACCACAAAACAACATATACTAAACGACATTCTACCATAGTTGTACCAACTACTATATACCCTACGTCATTCTATTCTATCATACACGAAAACGGAGACATCGGAGACTTTAGGGAAACGAATGCGCTCGTTTTGACGGCGGCCCATCGGCTTCCACCAGGCGATCAGGTCAAACTGGCTTCGGACCTGGGGTTCGGGGGTTTAGGGTTTAGGGGGCACAGCACCAAAATGGACGAGCTATGGAATTTGGAAAGGTAGTAGCAGTATTCGTCGTCGTCGTCGTATTAGTAGCGGAAGAAGCAGTGATAGTAGTAGTGGTAGTAGTAGTAGTAGTAGCAGCAGTAGTAGTAGTAGTAGCAGTGGTAGTAGTAGTAGTAGTAGTAGTAGTAGTAGTAGTAGTAGTAGTAGTAGTCATAGTAGTAGTCATAGTAGTAGTAGTACTAGTAGTAGTAGTAGTAGTAGTAGTAGTAGTAGTAGTAGTAGTAGTAGTAGTAGTAGTAGTAGTAGTAGTAGTACGAGCAGTACGAGCTGTACGAGTGCAGTCTCCTTGACATCTTCAGCCCTAAACCGTTCTGGCTTTCTTCGACTTCGTCCGATCGTCGTCGACAAGCCATTGAAAGAATCACTGCTGCTCCGGCTTCTGCTAGGTCCTAGTACTACTACGACGACGACCACTACTACGACTATACTCCTAATCCTACTCCTGCTCGTGCTCCTACTGCTACCGCTACTGCTACTGCTGCACTACTGCTACGACTGCTACGAACTGCTACGACTCGTACGACTGCTACGAACTGCTACGACTGCTACGACGACGACTACTACTACTCCTGCTGCTACAGCTACGACGACTTCACCTGCAGCTATCAATCGAGATGGAGTCTGGCACTGCTAGTCTTGCTGCGAAACGACTACGACTATGCTAGCAGCTTACTTTCCTGTTGGCTGGCACAGAAGGTGGTAGTATTGCTATCACGGTCCTTATGGCCAGCCCTTCTGTTCTTGCTGCTTGAGATATTGATACGATTGCTGCAACCGATACTGCTTCTATAGGCATTGTTGTGATTCATGGTATCTTCGACAGTGCTCCTACTGTTCTTACTCCTACTTAGTCCTACTTCTGTGGTAACGGCCGCTCGACTGCTGTTGATGCCACGAACAGCATTGCAACCGTCAGGCTTGTGTTGGTAACACATGGCGATCAGATGACGATGATGATGATGAAGATGATGATAACTTGGAACGATCAATCATTGACGCAGTCGTGGTGGAACCTACACACGAAACCCGAAACCCCAATATCCCTTGCCAACTTCCGCGAAGCTTGCATGCGAAGGAGCTCCGCTGTGTCGAAGTACCTGCAACAAGCCGCGACGATTTGCCTCTGTAACCGCTGGCCTGTGTGGTTTCAGGAACAACAGGAACAACAACAACACCAATCTAAAATTGACCACGCTATACCATAACGTGGTTTGTTTCATCACATAAGTTTGTACCAGAGTATACAGAGCAAAATGTGCTGAATAAGTGCGTATGTACACGTAAACTAGTGAACAAGTATATTGATATGCGTGTACGTATATGTGTGTATACTATGTGTAGAAACCGTGTTTACGCACGCATACATACACACACACACACATATATATATGTATATATGAATATGTAAGTAGAGAGAGATACATACATGCATACATACATGCATATATACATACATACCACGTACACACTTACGTACATATATACATAGGTACATACATACATACATATGCACACAACACACATTGCAGATCAAACACTGCAGGTCTAGAGTTCCACCGCTATACAGGAGTCAACCTCGGAAAAAAAATCAATTTATTCACAACTCGGCGCTTGTAGGTTTAGGGTTTAGGGGTTAAGGTGCTTGGGGTTTTTGGGACGCAGTGCTTGAGGCTTCAGGGTTCTAGGCTATGGCTTGAATCAGGGGGCATCGAATCGTAGGGTCGTCATGGAAGCTCGGGGGCCGAAAGCACTGTGGCAAACCTGAGGGCTTACACAGCTGGGTTGTTGATTCTTTTTCCGCCAAAAATACCTTAACTTAATAAGTTGAACAAAGACCTGTTTATGGCCATAACGGAGAACCAAAACGGTGTACCTACGTGCCACCTAGTAAAGCTCCGTGCACCACTCCCGAAGATTCAACCGAGCACCATCGACCGCCCCTGGGCACCACTTGAGTTTCTGCTTCGCTCGCGTGCCCGGGAAGGTCGCCTGCAGTATGTCGAGGGATCTCGAGGATTTAAAGTTAAGGGTTTCAGATAAAAAAATCACCGATATCATGACACTAGTCATAGAGAACATGTATGATTAATAGTCATCTGGATCCGTAGAACTGACGGGATTCGGTTTTAGCGTTCGGGCTAAGTTTTGCTCAAATTGCTCGGTTTCTGGCATTCGTGTCATAAGACCCCATAGACAGCTGGTGTAAAGCTGTAAAAATACCGGGATGCGCTGCAAACCACCGTTTAACTGCCAAGCATGGTTTAAAAAGACTCTAAACCCGCAGTGGCCGACATTCAAAAATTTCCAGAGCCAACGAAGTCTCCGCTCTCGACGGGTTTGCAAGCTCAGTCTTCTGACAAGGAAGATAAAGTACAACTATGCACACGTCTTCAGCGGTAGGCTTTCTACTCGGGAGGGGGTCCTATGAGAAAGAATGCAACACCTGGCTAACGTCCGTCTGCATGCAAAAACAGTTCCTCACCGTACGGTAAAGTCTTTCTCTTGTCTTTAAATGATTTTAAAGGACAGACGGATGTTACTAGTTTATCAGCTTGTTGTAGGTGCTTTCATAACTCCCGCTCTCGATTACTCAACTTCCTCCGCACACAGTTTTGCCTGGCTGAAGAAATAATTTTTAGGACTTGCGCCGCTATTGGGCAAGGTCGATATTGTTGCAAGTTCATTGCATGCATGATCCGTAGCCATAGGCATTCCTGGGCATCTGCGATAGCATCCACTGCCAAAAAGATCACTACATCTGTCGATGATCCCCCGTGAACTGCCCATTAAACCAGGCAAAGCCTCCACCAAGTAGTACCGCTCTTGCGTGTTCTTTCGGAGAACCGTGTAGGTGCCCAATTCCTGAAACAAGGCTTAGTGGAGCTGGAAGCGATCAGTGCAGATCCTTAGGATTTGAGATTTGGAGTTTCCGGTTCTTAGCATCGGCTGCTCCGGTTTGGTGATTTCACGGCGTGAGCTCGTGCGAGGACTCAGCAGGACAATCGTGCCGCCAGAGAAACTCACTCAGTTGATTGATTGGGCAGAAGCGAGCAGCACAAATTTCTGCCAGAAACGCGTTTCTCGCTACACTCGCCTGAGAAGCTGGAGGGAGTTGGGATAACAAGAACAACAACCACTACTTGTACTGTTGCTGCTACTGCGACTACTGCTGCAAGTACGAAAACAATTTCAATTGAACGCTGCGCGAGCGTGCTCTGCGCCTGCACTCGTGAAACCTGACCTAAACGACAGGGATGCATCTGCTCCACATTGTCCAGAACTCAACAGACCTGATGCGAGACCGCCTCGACCAGAGTCAGACTCAGCTCTTCCTCCGTCACCCTCAGTGTGAGTCACTGCGTCCACTACTCACGAACCTGATGCCAGCTAGTTTCTACTCCGTAGAGCCGTCTCTGTGAGTTCCCGTCTAGTGGCGTCCCACACTGTGTAACTCCTCGCTTCAGGCGATGGCCCGTAAGGGCAAGGCACAAAGGTCGGGCCCGGCATAGTACCTGCACTTTCACGTGGCAGTCAACCTGCTTAAGCCTGCTTGCAGCTATCGAGTGTGGGCAATGCCAGATCTGCAGACCTCATGCTAGCCAATATTTTTCTCAAGGCCCGCGTCAAGGATGCAGTACGGCTGTCCTGCACAGACCTGCTGACTCGAAGCAAAGTGCTTAAATGGTGGCAAGCCTAATTTGCTCGAATGAGCGGGTTGTTGCGAGTAGGCTGTGCCTGAACGCAGGCTGTGCCTTGAACGTAACCAGCGAGGCTGTGCCTGCGCCGGTCAGCGACGGGATCCCTGCTGATTTCGCCACCAATCGTTGTGATGCTCCCTGGAGCGATCCTGCAATTGCCAGGATTGCCACTGCCTGTTCCAATCCTCGCGAGGTCGCTGGCTCGATGACGACGAAGACGCGGGGGCTCCCGACTCCCTGGATCGTTTACCCTCCTGGTCTTCGTCGCCCTGTTGCTGCGGTTGCTTGGAGCTGGAGGAAGGCGGCTGGGCATCCTGCCTGTCTGCCAACTCATGTACAATGCGCATACGCTTCGGCGCCTCCTCACCCGGGTTCTCTGGCACGAGCTTAATCATGCGGCTGCTGAGGCCAGCAGACTCCGAAGCGTAATTGTAGATGATGCGAATGGTAGTGGCAACCAGGTCAAAATGAGCGTGGGTAGGGAAAAGCCTAGCCAGGGACGGCTCCTCCCACATTTTGTTGAACAAGGCTGCCACCAGGTCATGGGCTTTCGTGGGGGTGGCTAGTTCCGTGTAGCTGGAGCCAATGCCCATCGCGATGGTGACCCGGCCATCCTGCGTGAGAACTCTTCTGGCCGAGACCGCAGTCTCCCAGGTAAGGCCAGACTCGGTTTTCACCACTTTGATTGCCTCAAAGAGACGCGGGACTCTGCGGAGCGCTTCAACCCTGGTCGCCCACAGGGGTTTTTGCTCGAGCTCGGTGAGCCCCCCAAAAATGGCGGGGGATGCAAGTACATCGAAGCTTGGCAGCGCCCGGATCCAATCCTGAACAGCCGGGGTGCCGAGCATGTGTGCCACCTCCTCCCGAGTGAAATACTTTTCCTCGTCTGGTGAAGGCTGCGGCGTGTAGTCCAGCTGCTCCGCTCCACTGTGGGGCGGCTCATAGTCTGAGGGAGACCGAGGCAGCCAAAATGGTGTGTGGTCTGGCTCCGGTCTGCTTTGCGATGGGCGTGACTGTCCCTGGGCTGGGGCTGGCCGCTTGGGTGTCGTTGGGGGTCGCGGAGCCGCCGTGGCCAATGGGACACTGGGTTGGTCTGGTGCCGCTTTGACCGGGAGGGAAGCAGTCTTGGCCGGCTGTGGTGTTGCAGAGGTTCCGCCCTGGACAGCTGTGAAGGGGGTATCCACTGGTCTAGGCGGGGGTGGCAGCACCGAGCGCAGTGCTGATGGCATTGCCACATCCGCTGTTGCCGGAGTTTCCTCGCGCTAGAGAAACGAAAACAAAGCCGACTACAACGACAACTACAACAACAACTGCTGCTGCTTCTGCTACTGCTACTGCTACTGCTACTGCTACTACTACTACTACTACTACTACTACCACCACTACTTTTGCTACGAATACATCTACGGCAATGACGAAGATTACGACTACTACACCTCCTCCTCCTCCTCCTCCTCCTCCTCCTCCTCGTCCTGGTGCTGCTGCTGTTGCTGCTGCTGCCACTGCTACTCTACTACGTTCCTGCTGCTTCTCCTGAACCTACTAGCCCCAAACCCTACACCAAGCACTAAGCACCCGGCCTTATCGTTGGGAGAAGGCTTCTGATTCTGGCTTGTTCTCATCTCGGAGATCACGGCCTTCAGCACCTCGGCAAATTTACGTACGGGTCTTTGGGGCTTAGAGCATAGGGACTCAGGGGTTGAGCATTTGTGGGTCAGTCTCTCTCTTTCTCTCTCTTCTCTCTTGGTATAGCTTCCACTTGGGATGCTGCTCATATGGCTCTAACAAGTAATGAGGCTTGAATATCATGATTTCCGGACAACCTGGAGCGCGAGTTTTGGCAGCGCGCTGCTACCTCCAATGCAAAACAAAACATGGTCCAGCTAAGTCGTATGGCATCATTTCCACCTTGATTCCCGCCAGGGCCGATTGGATCCGGACGAGAATTCGTTCCGAAGGCTCCCCTAAGTTTGACACTTCCGAAATCCAACTCCAGTATCGAAGGCCCCTTAGCCTTCGTCGTGTTAAGGAACTTAGCTTCTAAATCTAAGCTAGCGTTACCTCATAGGGAAGTGAGAGGTATCGAGTCGAAGATGATGATACTTAAGTTGATGAGAAAAAACAGAGTCCGACCTGGTATCCAAACAGCGTTTTAAGCAAAACGCCTAGACCCGAAACCCTAAACCTTAAACACTACTGTAACCCTGAACCCTCAAATCTACTTCCTAAATCCCAGCGCCTGAGTTGGAATTCTGCAGCCCGAACCCTAGACCCTAATGTAGGTGCTTTAATAGTTAGACTAGGGTGGGGGATGTAATCCTATAGTCATAATAGTCAAAACCCCAAAACCGCATTCTAATTACGATTTCCATCGTGAACCCCCCACAACTGCGGCCGGGTCGCCCGGATCTGCCTCTCCAGCTGTGCGCATCTTTCGTCGCTGTCATCGTCAGCTTGCCTGACAAACCCGCTCCATCCCCCTCTGGAGGTCACTAAAAACCCTAAACCCTCCCAATCTTGGCTTTGGACCCTGAACCCTAAATCCAACCCAAAATCCTAAACCCTAGACCCCTAAACCCTAAATCCCAAACCCGAAACCCTAAACCCGAAACCCTAGCCCAAAAGCCATCCCAATCTTGGCCCAGGAGTATTTGGGTTCAGGATTAAGGGGACTGGGCATGAGCTTAAATCCAGGGGCGTCTTTTGGTTTTAGACTATATATAACCATATCAAGGAACCCCCACCACACCAGTAGGCTCCTCTAGCACACCGAAGTCTTCTGAACTGGAGCTACTTTAAGCGACCATCAAACAGAACCGGAGCTTAGAAGGTTGCACCTCCCCCCTTACCAAGACCATGCAACACCATACAACATAAAGCATGCCTAATCGCTAAATCTTCAATAATCGATGAAGCCCGAAACCCTGGAATCCTACATGGCGGGACCCTCCGCACGAAAACCCCAGCAAAACCCTGCTGCGGGCTCCACTCAAAGCCCACTATAGCCAACTATGCCTTGGTTACCCGGCCACCCTTCAACAGTCTATATTAGGGCATCAGGGGGTCAGATTAAGGGCTACAGATCATCAGCAATTTAGTATATATTATCAATCTGATAGAGAGCGGGGTCTGTACCCAAACTATACACGGGTTTCCTTGGGTTAGGTTCAGGGTTTGGGATTCGCATAATTACACCCTTGAATTCTCTGCACTCGCAGTGAGCCGCCCTAAGAGGATCAGGGTACTACAGTAGGTATGGTCATTAGTCTGCCACCTGCTGCTACGGCTGTCCCCATTTTTAACCCGCGCAAGACATCTCAATCCCTACTTCGCCTCGAAGCACTGCTTGAATACAGTCGGCAATGTTGCTGCCAGGGGAAACTTTACTACGACACACCACCAAACCCTAGTTATAATACATAAAATCAGACAAATCGACGAGCGAAGGCCTTAAAACCATAGCGAAAGATGAGCAAAGCCCCTGCACCAGACTTTGAGCCGTGGATCCTTCAATCCAAGGGTAAAAGGAGGGACCCTTAATAAGGACCCCTAGGTATATACTAGTATATACCCTTTATATAGCTATCATATACCCATTATATAGCCCATTATAGGGTAGGGTCCCCATTAAGGGTCCCTCCTTTTTCCCTTTGATTCAAGCACTCGAACACCGAGCCCAGCCGGGCCTCTCCCTCTCCGCAGCAACTGCAGAGTCGCCTCAGGCTGGTCTTTGTAATATAGGGCCCTTAATAATTAGAATAGGGTTCCTTTTAAAGGGGTCCTTTAAAGGGCTACTATAAGGGATCTATAAGGGTACCATAATATAGGGGCCCTGATAATCAGAATAGGGTTCCGTTTAAAGGGGTCTATAGGGGTTAGTACAAGGGCTGCTATGAGGGTTTAGTATAGGGGCCTTAATAAATTAGAATAGGGTTCCCGGGCCCATTATACTGTAATGATAACAAGGAACCCCCCAAATTAGTATTGGTAATTATTTAGTCCCCTACAGTACCCAAACCCTCATCATAATAATGATCTAGTTAAATAATATAGCGCTTATGGCACAGTTCGGTCTAGTCTATATAGAGTTTAGGGTATCAAGATCCTAAACCCTCAAGAATCTGAATCCTAGTCCTAAACCTTCAAGCCTTAATTACAGCCTGAATCCTGAGCTACAGCTAAACCCTATGTAAGCTTGAATTGAAGCCTAGACCCAGCTACACCTGAAGCCTCAATGTGGGTTCAAAACAGGGCACCCGGATATAGAGAACTACCCGTATAGTACCCTTATAGAAACCCTATAGAAACCCTTACAGATTTAAAGTGCCTAAACTCTGGCAGAGGAGAGCTGCCAAGAGGCTACTGGTGCTCTCTGCGCGCCCCGGAGCAGTGTTCGGGTCGACCTGACGTTACGAAAAACAGAACATCGTTTCGGGTGGGCTTGGGTTTCAGGGTTTGGGGTCTGGGCTTTGGGTACAGGATTTGACCAGGCTGCGTAAGGGTTTTAAGGATCAGATAGTCGGGCACACGACGCAGGGTGAGATTCAAGGGCCCGGCAGGTTTGCCGGGATTGGGTGTTAAATGTAGACAGTGTAGGGTGGGTTAATATTTACAGCCTCTAGACTCTAGAGTATGGTATTATAGTATTGTTGGCTTCGCGGTATAGGTATATTATACTGAAGGCTTAAGGTGCCTTGTATTGGGCTTTTAGGAGGTTCCTGAATCCTTCAGTTCACTCGAGAACACCAAACCACCCCCATAGCGACCCTCATCGTAACCCTATAGTATCCCTTATAGTAGTGGCCCTTGTAGTAGCGCTTACAGTCATAAAACTTCTATGCTGAACTTACTTAAACCCATAGCAAAAGTTATGGTTAATTTTCGAGCTGCTTCTTAGGGATGATAGGAACCAAAAATTAAAATCATTTCTAAGTACCCCGAGGCCTTAACCAGGGGAGCCCGACCCTGAACCTGACCTTTGGTTAGTAGGGAAGGGAGGAATGGGGTACAATTACTACTACTACTACTACTACTACTACTACTACTACTACTACTACTACTACTACTACTTGTACTACTTGTACTACTGCTACTACTACTACTCTTCCATTCCCTACTAGCCAAAGGTGGGGAACTCCTCAGAAGGCGGGCCTTCCCGAAGAAGGTTCGAGGGACCCAGCCAGTGCGGTCGCGGATGCGGCCGAAGGCCTCGGCTCATTGAATACAGGGGCCTTGATAATTCGAGTAGGGTTTTGGGGTATATTATACCATACCAAAATAAAGGAACCCCCAAAATAGTATTAGTAACTTGGGCTGGACTGTCCTATGTTCCTACGTTGAGGGTCTAGCGCTGCGGGGTTCAGGTTTTAGGGTTAGGATTTTGGGGTTTTGGTGCTAGGGGTTTCGTTTTAGGGGCGGGAGTTCTACTTTCTAGGGATTTGTTGATCTAAGGTTGACGAGTGATGCACGGCAAAATAACTCTCCATGACAGTACCTTCTTATTATGCCTACTATACTATGTTTGAAAGCATAAAATGGGTTCACTAACAAAGGACATTGAAGCGGAGGTGGCACAATAGATATCAGGAAACACTCTTCCAAGACCAGAGAGTTATGTCGCAATATGAACTAAGGCAGACAGGCAAACGTCTTTTGGTAGGGGGTTTTAATCTTCCCACGGACCTTTTGCGGGCGTGCATTACGGATATCTACTTTTGTATGTCTCTCCGTCCGTTCGTCGGTCTGTTGGCCTGTCTCTGTCTGTATGTATGTAAGCATCAAGGCACACACAAGCAAACGCACATGCAGGTAGATATACATATAAACGCACATAATATCTTTACCAGCGTTCTGTCCTGTTTCATAATGGTGTTCAAGGTAGATTCGGATTACACAGGGTTTACCGACTAGACTTGGTTTTTCTATTCTACAATGGTCCAAGGGGTTCTCTTTAAAATGGCCTGGCTTGGCTGTGATGTCACGTTCCACAAACAAGAAAGCATCGAATTGCTACAGAACCTGCAGCGACGCAGACCTATACACAGACAGTCACAACTCATATTTATCCGCACACATAGAGTATGCATACATAGAGACACACATATGTGTGTATATATGTCTGTATGTACATCCGGGTCTCGGCTTTACATACTCCTCATGGACTCTACTTGAGCCCTAGGCTCAAGAACCCAAAGAAGTCAGAAAGCTTTGGCCCCGAATCCCAGAAGCAATTCCGAAAGCCTCACGATTCGACGGCTTGGCATGGCGACAAACACGATAAAGCTCAAACCAAAGATAAGCATCCTGCAACGAAGCCGAAAAACATGGCCATAACCACATGACCGGGATGAACATGTTATTTACCCCGGGCTCGGACCCAGTTTTCGTCTTCTTCTGCATGAGGCATCCAAGTGATGGGGTCACCTGGTCATGCTGCCAGGTTTCGATTTCGGTGTTGATCATTTTCGGCGAGCGGGTTTGTAGCTCAAGGGTTCCGATTGACCTGCAGTTCCAACTAATGAGCCCAAGTCCCATGCTGTTGTAGACCTTAGACCCTAACCCAAAAACGTTATGTGAACTGCGTAACTACGTGAGAACGTGGAGTTGCACAGCTACTTTAAACTTTAGACTTGACGGTGGCAGGGCTTAGCGTCCAGATTATCAGTGTTCTGACTTCTGTTGGCTATGAATCAAACGTTTGGGTTGCATGGCTCTGCTTAGGGTGGGAGAGTTCCAAGTTGTTGGCTTTGAAGTGTGGGGATCTGGGCCCCGGTGTTGCAAGGAATCCAGACCCTGCACCGCAAAACCCAGAAATGATCCCCGAAAACGGTTCTATATAAGGGTTACTATACGGGATCTATAATAGGGTACTATATAGGAGCCTCTAGATCCAAGGGGGCTTTCCAGACGCCCGAACCCTAAACCCGGGGCCTGCCCTGAAACGGCGCCGGCCTCTGGAAAATCGCAGGTACTCGGATCCATAGCCATCGGCCTGGCGTCATGTTGGGCGTCTTAAAAAGTGAGGATGCCTTTTTCTGATGTAGGCGGTTTAGGGTTTAGGGTTTAGGGTTTAGGGGTAGGGCATTGGGGGTCCGTGTTTGAGCAGTTCGATATGGTTTAAGTCTGTAAAGCGTGTTGTTCAGAGTTGTTCTGAGGGCTTTAAGATTCTTGTTAGGGGCTTCAGGGTTGCGATGAGTTGTGGCTCCTCTGCGGGGTAATAATAGTAATAGTAGTAACAATAGTTATAATGGTAATGGTATTAATAATAGCAATAATAGTAAGAATAATAGTAATAATTGTAATAATAGTACCTGCTTTTTATTAAGTGCTGGGTGAGAACCAGCGGCCGTGCCAGACACGAAGCGGATCAAGGTGAAACCCCGAACCCCTGCTCCAACTGCAGACAAAGAATCAGAATTGAAAGCACACTGAAGATGCTAGCCTCCACAAACAAGTTGATATTCACGGCTCACATCGTGGAACAACGCCCCGCGTCACCTCCCTCTTCAATTGACAGTTATCTGAGTTCGGAGCTGGGGCTTCCGGGGGTTTAGGTTTAGTCTTTGGGCTGCAGAGGTGAAGTTTCTGCACCCCAAAACACCCCAGACCCGTAAACCCCACATAAACCTGAAGCCCGAAACCCTAAACCCAACCCTCTGTAAACGTAAAATCTTAGACCCTAAGCCTTACCCTAAGGCCCCATGATAGTAGTTCCTGTTTGGGATTACCTTAGAGGATTCTATATATATATATATATATAAACCCCAAAAAGGAACTACTTTGGGGCCTTAGCGTAGTTCGATCTTTTTCGCATCGCAGGGGTTCGAAAACCCTCTGCGTCGCCTCGAACCCTGCCAGGGCCACGCCAGACATGCTGGCCTCCAAGGGACGGGGGGTAGGGTTCCGCTAAAGGGGGGTTTAGGGTTTGGGGTTTAGGGGTTTAGGGGTTTGGGGTTTAGGGGTTGAGGGTTTAGGGTTTAGGGTTTAGGGGCAAGTATAAGAGATCTATAAGGGTGGGCTGCAGTGAAAAGATGCGGGGCTCGGAGGCCTAGGGCAGAATCCCCAACTTACAGCACCGCAGAAGAACTCTTTGACCCCACAGATTTTGAAAGCAGCACAGTACTAGCAAAATGCCTAACGAAGAGGATCTAACAGCACCAACACCTGCTTCGTCTTAAGCATACAACATTATGTTAAAGGAGCCCAAAGCACCACCATGCCCGAAATATGGGTGCTTTACATACAAGACAGTCCCTGAACAATCCCAAAACCTTACGCCTGCATCACTGCACCCTATACCCTAAACCACAAGTCCGAAACCCTAAAGCCCAAACCCTAAACCCCTCCTACGATGGATCCTTTAAAGATCCCATAATAAAGGAACCCCTATAGTTCCTCTAAAGGAACCCGAAGCCCAAAATGCCTGCTGTAGATCCGACACGCGCGATGCCCAAGCCCTAACCCCAAAAGATGCATCGTGGACTTCACAGCCCAGTCTCTGTGAAAATGAGGTGGGCGTAAGATTCGTGTGCTACTGTTTTGCTGAGGAACTTAGTAGTAGTTTGTCTTGACATAAGCGTTCTCTCAAGGGTTCCAAAACGGTTCTACAGAGGTTCCTCTCGTAGAGATATCTGGCGAATCGCAGGTTCGTTCATCGAGACAAAAACATCAAAAAAGCATTGGAAGGCCGGGTTAACGCACGCTCAAACCCTATCCGAATTGCTAAGGCCCCTATTCGGCTCCGTCACAAAAACGCAGTGTAAGCTGGGAGCCAGACCGATGTAGCCATGGGCACACCACTCATGAGGCCCTAAACCCCTCTCTGAGGGACCAACCTTCACTTAACAACTTTCGGTAAGGGGTAAAAACTCTAACACTTGCTTTAGACCTAAGAGTAACCTAGGAATAAAAAGGGTGCCCTTTTTGGTTTAAAGGGGTTTATAAGGGAACCTAAACCTAAACAAAGGGAATAAGGGCCTACTCTGGGTCCTAGTGCTTGGGCTTCGACTCCACGGGGGCTTGAGGCTTTCAGGTGAGCTTCTGTGAGGTTTGGGACTCTAAGTTAGAGGTTTAGGGGCAGGATTGCTTCAATGCTTCAGACTTAAGGGCTTCAGAGTCTGGTGGTTTGGGATGCTAGATCGGAAGCTGGTGTTCTCTTGAAAGGCCCAAAGCCACGCTGTTCAAGTCGTGTTTGGCTTTCCTCACGCAGCTTTCAGAAGGTTCGTGGATCGGGTGCCTAAAAATCCGTTGACCCTGAACCCGAGACCTTACATAAATTCCTCAACTCAATGCCTTTGAGGATGAGGGCCTTTGGGTTTAGGGTTCTGCGACGGAAGGTGGTTAGTCCCCATTTGCAGCTACTCATGATGAACGATGGCACTGATCCTAGATGATCGTGGTGATGCCGATGGTCATGATGAGGATGAGGATGACAAGAGGAATAACAGTCCTCATAACTACAAAATTCAGAGAAGGGTCCTGTTTATCAGGGTGCCGTACTTTTTTGGGTCTGCTCATAAGGTCGGGTCGAGGACCCTTTTTCCTGAAGGGTCAATAATGGCTGCAAGTAGGGCTGCAGGAATCTTAGCTGGGTATACTGTCAGAATTGAACCACACCGAACATACTTGGCCACTGTATAATAAACTAAGCTCCATAATCCCTCCAATAATGGGATTCATGCTAGCCCGTTTACGTTTGATTGTTGTGGGCGTAGGGCTGAGGGCTTAGGCTTCAAGCTTCATACTTTTCATATGTCATTGTCATAGGTCGTATGGAGTTCATACATCATGGGGCTCATGGGGTTCACGGAGCGCGGCATTTAGGGATTGATTAGGGCTTGTAGGGCTTACAAGGCACACCAGCACCGCAGCTTTTTGAGAAAACGGTCAGGCGACGCGAGCACAACACGAATTCAATGCCGGCGCCTGCTTGCGGTATACAAGCCAGGTCGCCAATGAGTGAGACGAGGGTGCGGTTTATTCTTGTCTTTTGAGGGGTACTTACAGCAAGACTCTGAGTTCGTTACTATTTGGGGTGATACGTGTGGGTCCATTGAGGGTTCATGGTGCTGCAACTCAACCCATGGTTGAGATCCGTGGAAAGTGGAGAATGTTTAAGCCTTTCGGGATTTACAGGAGCCTTGGGTTTTACATAGGGGCGGGGGCCAGGTAAGAAGAGACTTCTTTCTGCCACGGCCTGCCAGGCTCATCACTGGACCTGGCGCAAGTGCCACGAGGTTTTGGCGTGGCTAGTCGGGAACTGTGGCAATTGGCCATCTCGAAATGGTTCTTCCTTCTGTGATTACGAGATGTCTCTCTGTGTACTGATTCAGAAGTAGACGAACAAAAACCAAGTCTTTTTGCAACTTGTAGCAAACACGGTATTGACTTTGTTGTTCTTGTTACCATTCAAGCGAGTATACCTTTCGTACTCTGACTGCTCTTCTTCCTCCATTAAATCTGAGCATGGCTCTGATGATTTCGAATTCTTACGAGTACAAACCATCCTTGTAGTAGTCGTGGTAGTTGTACCATCAGCAGCGGCAGCAGCAGTAACAGTGGTGGCTGTTGCGGTCGTCGTCGCAACGGCGATAGTAGAAGAAGTAGTGAAGTCACCCCCCTCCACCAACTACACAGAGCCTCTTGAGGGCACATCCATTTTTCGCGGTACTTGCCGTAGTTTCGCAATGTCCTACCACTTCTTGTTGTCTCAAAATCCATTTGTCGATTTTGCAAACTCGAGCTCCGGATTTCGGAAGGGTTCGAGGGGTGGGGGGGACAGGGATGGAGGGGTGGGCGTAATGACGACAGGTGACAGGCTTCCACACACGTGCATTTTACGCAGCGTTTACAACACTTTCGTAATGGCCTACCACTTCTTGTTGCCTCAAATATCCAGTTGTCGACTTTGCAAACTCGAGCTTCCAGAACCCTGGTTTGACAAGCGTAGTTGCGCGGGGGTCGGGGGATCTAGTAGTAGTGGTAGCTTTAGTAGCAGTAACAGGAGTAGCAGCAGTAGCATTGGTAGCCGTGAGCAGTACTTGTAGGAGTAGTACTGGTAGTAGTTTGCTGCTGTAGCGGTAGTAGCCGTGCCGGTCGTCGATACCGGCGGAGTAGCAGCAACCGGAGGAGGACTTCGAGGAGGCACTTTTGGGTGCTTGAACTGGTGCTCCTGCTGTAAGACCCATAATCAGTACCCTAAGGGTCCAAGTACCTAAATATCATATTAGCTCTTGAAAATAGTAACCTCCATAACCACTATCCTAAACCCGAGTACCTAACTATTGGGTCCTGTGGACCCTTAGGGGTAGGTATGGACCTAGACGATGGTACTCAGAAAACGCGAATTCAGTGTTGCCGAAGCCGTGCAGCTCCGAAAACCTTAGTCCAATTATCGGGCCCTGTAATTCGAAAGCGCTGGGGTATATTGCAGCGTATCTACACAGGGACCAGGAAATATCTTCATTAATTCATTATAGTTAGATTCAACCCTGTCCTGTGTGCACACTGAACTCAAACCGCCCGTCCTGCTTAGGCTAAGCCGCCACGACGAGAGGAGCCGAACGCCGCCGCAGACCGTACGTGAAAGCCTTGCCAGGGCTTTAGGGCCCCCAGACTTTCGGGTTTAGGGTTTAGGGTTTAGGGTCATAAGGGTGGTTGTCAAAATTAGGGTCCCTTTTTGGGTCCTTAATATGATGCGGCACCCAATATTTAGGGTAGCCAAAAAGGGCCGTAATTTTGACCACCACCCATAAATGCAACCACAAGTCCGACGTTCAACCCTAAGCCGGTGGTTCGTTCTCCCAGGCAGGGAGAGTGTCTACGAGAAAGTCAGGCCAATGCGTCCTGCTTTACCCATTCCTAAGCCCCAAACCCTACACCCCAACACTTAAACTGTAGAAACCAAGATCTTAAACCACAACTCAAAACCAGAATCTTAAACCCTAAACCCTTCAGAAGTCCAAACCCGAAATACCCTACATAACTGCAGGGCTGGAGCGGGACGACGGCTTTTCAAAGTTAGGATTCCGTTTGAAGGGATGTGAAGAAGGCTACGACATGGTGTATTATAGGGGCCTATATTGCTCCACGGGCTAGGGGTTCTCGAATAGAAGGCACATTTTCTGGAATTGCTTTCTTATCTGGTGATAGCCACGAAGAAGTAAGAGATCATTGCCCGCTTTTCTGTAGGCCTTGGGAACTGACTGGAACCCATTACACTAGAAGCCCAAAAGTTGGAAACCCTATAGCCGCAATCCTGAAGAGTAATGTAAAGGGCATCCCAGCACTATTTGGCCTTAATCCGGTTTCCAACTTTATGGGATTTACTGTAAGAGCTCCTGAAGGTTCTGGAAGGGCTTCGTTCTTTTGGGGTCTACGTAGGAGAAAAGAGGAAGGTGCCTACAAAAGCTTAAAACCAGGTCCATATCTATATCTGTCTATCTTTCTATGTGTCTGTCCATCTATCTGTCTAACTTTCTATCTGTATATATAGATGTACAGGATACATATGTATGTACATATCTGTTACCAAACTAGGGACTATATATGGGGATGCCCTTTTTCATTTTTGAGACATCTCTCCATTGCCGCACCGATGGCCGAGGGCCCAGCGCGTTTTCATCGTGTACAGGTCCTCGTGAAGCTCCATCACCGTGGAGGCGCCGAGCCTCCCAGCTTAGGTTTAAGTTTTTGAAAATTTAGGGTTTCAGGATTTGCGGTGTTAGGATTTGGGGTTGGGGGCTGGGGTTCTAGGGTTGGGGTTTAGGGTGGGGTTTGGGGTTTTGGGGTTTTGGGGCTTTGGGGTTTTGGGTTTATGGACAGTCAGCCAAGGAGCTGAGCTTGGCGCTTAGGATGGTTTTTGGCTTCTTGGGGGAGCTTAGGGTCTGGCTTTTCAGGGGTTTAGGGTGTAGGGCTTGGGCGAGTTGAGGGCTTAGTCGAGGTTTTGGGGCTGAAGGTTTTCGAAGGACTACTTCATGGGCCCCTGCAACTGGATTCACAACTGCAGTTCAACCGCAGGGTGAGGGTTTCCGAGGTGTAAAGGGGTTTCATTCCCCCTACGGTTTTCGGATGAATCCCTACAGGTTTTCGGATGACTTTCGACTATGCGCCCGAAGAGGGTTTCAGGTCTAGGATCAGGCCCACCAATTTAAAACCTGATCCTTCTTTGCAAGCCCCAAAAGCTGCGAGAGCCTTCTGCACTTATGCGCTATGAACTTGCTAGGCCCGGAACCCTACTAGCACGAGCCCCCAAACGGTAGCTAGAGGCTCATACCCATACCCTTTTGTGGGGCGCCCACTTTTTAAGATAACAGATCCTAACCATAAAACTAGGTATCCTAAAAAAGGGGGTAGGGTATGAGCCCCCAAACGGTACATCATCCTATGTCAGGACCTGAATCATTGAATCCCAGGGCCCCAGGCACCTCGGACCTTGGGGCCCGGAATGCCCTGGACCCAACGAGTCCAATCTTGGTCCCTATCCCCGAAGCCCACCTAAATCCCTAAACCTTAGACCCTAAATCTCTTCACCCTGAACCCGACATCCCTAAACCCTAAACCCCTGTATAAACTCACCTTTGATTTGTAGGAATGGAAGAATGGTAGTAGTAGTAGTAGTAGTAGTAGTAGTAGTAGTAGTAGTAGTAGTAGTAGTAGTAGTAGTAGTAGTAGTAGTAGTAGTTATAATTGTACCCCATTCCTCCATTCCCTACTAGCCAAAGGTAAGTCCCTAAACCCTAAACCCTAAACCCTGGCATCCCTGAGGGCCTCTTGAGATCTCTCTTGACGCCATCCAGGAACGAG